AATTCAATGGAAACGTCAGCTCAACTCATATCATTGTGGGAAAATTCTTCTTCTACCAGTCCTTCATCCCTTTAAAAAATATACTACCCCAAGAGAAAAGTTTTGTGTAGTTTTTTCTCTATTTCATGTAGTACGGTGGTACACAGGTTAATCGGAGAAAAAGGACAGTGAGCCGAGGACTTATTCACACAATACATCAGTCATTCATACGCTGAATTCTGATGAGACTACATTACGAATTTCATACAACAATAAATCACTGACGAATTGTTCGAAACCCGCTTTTTATTCATATCTTAGTTGAGATCCATTGATCTTATCAAAGCATACTTATCCGATTTCGTAAAATGAACCATGTTCTCTTATCGGCAGACTTGGCTTGCCGCCTAATCTAATGTCAGCCATGACTCTACGTGGGAATGCTATCATGTGGCCAATTGTAGTGAAATATGCAGTCTTGAAACCCTTTGAGGGTGCTGATCAGATAAAGATGGTCTAACAGCCAGAATGCGAGAGCATTTTATGAGGCAAGACGAAGCAAATCCAACGGTTTCTTGAGGTCTGCTCATTTCCTTACAGGAAATTCAATTATCAATCTCTACCTCGCCTTGAGCAACCTAGACTGACCCAATTGCTTATTGCATAATTAGTCTAATTGGGAAGTAAATGAAGATTGCTTTGTAGTTGAGTCTATTTCTGGACAAGAGTACATCCCTCCGAGCTGAGCTTTTGCTTGCCTATCCGAGACGTACATCTTCAGAATGTGAGACTATTTTTACTGAAATTAAACGGACACACTCAGCCAGGAATGGTCGCCAACCACAATTTTGCCCATTTCCTTAAGATTGATTTTGCTATAGCCACTAAGCTGCCTATGCCTTATTCGACTATAAGTTGCTCCTTCCTACCCACTTGCAGCTTAGCATAGTTGATCAGGATGTCGCTGAAAGTCTGTTTCATTTCATAAATAACCTTAACGTAAATTCCATAGTAATACTAGGCTCTCTGACGGGTGGTACCACATTTGTGCTGACGAGTAATGCGAAATGTTACACATAATGTTTCCTCAAATAGCCATAGTTGCGAAAACAAGGTCAAGCAACGTCTTTACAACGAAAGGAGACCGCAATCATACAAAGGCCACACCATCCTGATTTTCATATCCTTGACTAGCCATAGCTTGTTTCCTTTCTAACTCGTTCCTAATATTTTATTTTTCTAATTCCCTTATCCATTCCATGAAAAAAATTGGTCTTGGTGGACAGATGTGTGGTCAAATAACTTCTTTTGTTTATGGGTTGCCCGACCTGCTCTGACTACCTGATCTGAAGAGGGTTACCGAATATGCTCGGAAAGAGGTTATAACACTCTATTTCTCTCTTCCTTACTAGTCCATCTCCTTTTTAAAAAGCTGACATGCTCGATGTATGAGCGTCCAGCAGACTTGTATAACTCTCTTTTTACAATCGGGGACTATCAGGGATATTTGTAAATCAATCTTGACCTAGAACTTCTTCGTTTGTGTATTCTGGGCGCATTTTTCTTGTTATCATTGAATTTTTTCACATTTTTTCACAAAATAACTATGCCAATTATATATTAAAATTAGTAGAAATGAATGAGGATACCTGTATTCCTGCTTAATGTTTTTCTTTCCTTACTAACCAAGACTTCTAAGAATTCGCACCCACCATCCATTTTATGATCCCATAATAGGTCAAACTGACCGCTAAATTATATTTAAAAAGGTTAAAATTCTTTTAGATTCTCTTGGTTTACGCTTCCAGTCATATTTTTGACAATAAATAAAAGTGTGTTCTTCCCCACTTTTGAGAAGAATATCACACTGTAGCCAGAGTCTGGATCTGTATCAACATTCCAAGCGATACTCGTGAGCTCGAACAAACGGTAAGGCAAACAACGCACATTTCTTTGCATTTCGAGAAAAAAGTTAGCTGGAAAGAATTCGTGGAATGATCGCAGAGTGAAGAATGTTGGAATCTGCTAAAACATTTTCGGCTCACAATCATGCGACTCCGATGAATCTGTGCTAATATTTCGTCTATATCATCTCAGTGGAAGAAATAATTAGAGCAAGAATGTATACTTTACAAAATAGCGCACCAATTCACTAAATGAAGAGAAAAGCTGGCCAGCTGCAAACCTATACTTACGACCTTATTTATACATCCCATGATTTGGCTGACTACTTTAAACTTACTCTACATGCTTGCAGTTGATTCATAGAAATGGAATCCATGGGACTGGATTTGAATTCGGTTACAGCTGTTTCTTTACACAAATCTTCTAAATTTGATTCATTTTTAGGTATGTTCTATTGTTTATTGTGTGCATGTAACATTTGCACCATAAGAAGTGTGATAGGTCTCGTTTTACTTAAGGCTAATCCAGCCTTCTTCTCTTGCTCAGTAGCTCTTGATATCCTCAAGCCTATACAACAACCGTAGATTGCTCCTATACACTTTTCTACACTTGTTCCTCCTATTCAAGATGTCGATTATTCTGACAGTTTCAATAGACTCCATAATCTTACGCTTTGATATGTGGCCTTCGAAACAAGAAAAACGTTGTGATTTCGGGTCCATTGACTTTGGCAAGTAGTTTTGGGTTTTAATAATCTCTTCTGGATGAGCTTTCGAGTCTTCCACGCACAGGCATTCCAACACGAGCACACAATCTTGCAACAACCTGATGTAGAAAGAGAAAATGTTCTGAAGAAAATCTTCATTTCTCCTTATACTTTGTTCTGATATTCCATTTTTTCAGAACACCCGATCGTTTCACAAAAAACTGCCTTTCATGCCCTAACTCACAGTCTCCTAATGCAAGCTCCTTATTATCATTAAATTAATAACTCTTAATATGACCCTAAATGCTTTATTAGATAATAAATTAATGAGGAAACCCGTGTGTATGGGTTTCCTACACACGTCTATACGATATTTATTGCCAGCCTTGCCTACAAATACATCCAGATGTGGCAATTTATTCTTCTTTGCTAACTTCATTATTCACGAATTCCTTCCGACCAAATTGTACTTCGAAATGGAAAGTCATTTCGCAATAAATGACCGGGAAATTCATCAAAACCTAATTTCTTCCCAATTTTGGTCAAGCAAGTATTTCAGGCAAAGTGACTATACCAAAGCCACATGGTAGGCATAAATAGGTACGCCATCTCAACCAAGGCGTCGCTAAGTTGAAAAATGTCAAGAGAATAAATACAAAAATTATGCATAAACAAGCATATAACCTGAAAAGTAAACACTGTAACCAACATTTAAGCGCGTCTGTTCGTATTCAACTGCACGCTCGGCGAGCACCGAGATCATCCAGGGCACTGCACTCTCCAGCAGCTTGGTAACTTCGATTTCGGCGACTTTGCGCTGAAAAGTAAGCAATCTTTTGAAGTACACTTCCTCGCCATTAAAGGCACACTTAGAGCTTAGAAATTAGGCGAAAACATTATTAAAAAGTTTGTTGGTCGGCTTGGTCTCAGTTTTGCAACTTGTCCATGAAGGGGAGGTAAGTATTCTGTATTGGGTCATCTGTAAATTGCGTCATAGGCTCTTTCAGCATTTTGGCGAGTTGTCGTTCGGTGACAAAATGACGCTGCCTAGTGACAACGCGAAACAGTCTTTCGGATTATGCGTTTCATAATGTACCTGTTCAAACGTAGGAATGCGACAGTTCAGGAATCCTGAGCGTACCGCAAAAATACGCCCGCATGCATGGTAAAGTTAAGATGAATAGGCAAGATGGACTTTGGGCAGCCGAAGATTCAGGAAAATGCAATTCAACATAAATTTCATAAACTCTTTTTTATATAATTAATTTCCCCCCTCCCAAATGAGATAAATAGACCTCACAAGGCAGGTGAATTTCACTTATCCTCGCCTTCCAAAATGCTATAGCATCCAGGCTGGACTGGTCGGCAGATTCGACCTCGCCTCACCATCTCATCAGTACCCTCAGCGACATTCGACATAGGGTCAATAGTATCGTGGTGACCCTACCAATCAGATGTGACAATCAATTCAAGCCACACCCCTCAAAGATGACATGACTCGGATATAGCCTTTTTGGCCGCAACAGGTCCAAGCAAAGATTCTTCAGTAAGAGATTTAGTCAGTCTAGGTAACTCAAACTGATGATGGAACGATGGTTAATTTTCCCAAAAATGAGATCAGTAGGTCATAGAATGCAAGTGAATTTCTTTTAGACTTCCTTCCAAGGTCTATCAATAGCCTCGAAATCCTACTTCATTCGAGTACAAGTTACTTTTATTTAGTTATGAGTATGTTTTCGAGTAATGTCGTCGATTGATATAGCAAGCATAAGTTTGCTTCTTCAGCACTACCACGACAGAATGTGATATGACAAAACGTCTGGCCTTTCTTGAAATTCACATCTGACTTGCGACTCAAAGGTCCTCGTGGTAGTGTGGCGTTGTGGTTGACAGGTCGATATTATATGGTACACTTTCATGGTTCGAGCCCCCTGTGGGTGCTTATAAGATCTAGGCGAGGTCGAAGTGAGAATATCTAATGGGAAGAAAGGCTGTGTGAAATAAAATGAAGAGGTAAGTTCTACTCATAGCATTGTGAAAAAATTCAACTACCGGAT